TTCAAATTACGTAGGAAAGCTACAGCTTCAGGAAACACCGATCTAAGATATTTTTTTATTTAAAATATTAAATAAAATTGAGGGATTATTTGTCATTATAAACTGTAAATTTCAGTCAGTAGGAATACTAGAGGGCATGAAAAGTAAGGTTTTACTTTAACTGTCTAATATTTATATTAATTCAGGAAATGTGTACTAGATAAAGATGCAATTTGGCTCCAAATGGTCAAATGTAACATAGTAGAACATTTCTAAAATGATACAACCTGGAGAAAAGTTTATAATTTGATTAAATTCTGCCCTGCAACCATACTCAGTAGATCACTGTCAAAGATAACAGTGGAATATGCTTGACAATTAACTTTTGTAGAACAGCTATAGTCTTAAACATTCATAAGCTAATTTCAACGTAAATATTAACATCTAGCCCTATAAAGCAGTATCTCTTAAAGGGGTGAAATCAAACAGCAAGTGCCAAAAAGTCTGCAGGTAAGAGAACATCTTTTTTGATCATTTGCTTCATTTATGTTATAGGCACTTTTACAATTTACACATGGATATCCAACAGCAGCAGGACACTGTAAAATAAAGCAAAAACTTGTTGCTATTTTTAATATATGCTAAATTTTTTTAATAACTGGATTGAAATAATACTAAAAACAATACCACTTTAAAACACTGCCATGTTTAAGATACACTAATTCAATTTATTTTCTAAAATGTGCATCTTACATAGTCATTAATCTCAAGGTGGCTCTAATCACAAGGCTTCAGAGCATATTTAGATAGAGCACATTTCCTTGCACGCCTAGCATTTTTTAAATGGCAGCAGTCTACCTTCCTTCTTTGGTCAAGAGGGGAAAAGAGGAAGACAGAAAGGGAAAAGGGGACTTCTCTGTAGAAAGATTTGGCCTTGGAGTCAGGGTTTTTGAGATGTGCTAGCGATCTTGGATCGATGCCTTTTTATTTTCTTTCAGGAATAAATCTGAGCAATGGAATGGCTTGCGATTGTCCAGCCAACCAGCCATATCAGATTTATCAGAAAGCAAGAATGAAAACTGACTCAGAGGACTCCTGCAGTGCCTGAGTGGCAGGTTGCTGGGAAAGACACACACAAAAAGAATATCCTTAGTGATGATGTGGAAAACATATTCATATGTGTAAACTCAATAAATAATAAGACATAAAAAAGAATCTATAGTAATGGAAAAGGTAAATGCATAAGACAGATGACAAATAGAACTTCTATTTAAGAACCAAAGGGATGAAAGCTCATGAATACTAAATATTTGAATCCACTTTAAGGAGAAAATATAATTTTTCCTCAAATGAATGCAAACTCCAAAAATCAGCCAATGCAAACTTAGTGTTTTCAGGTTAGAGCAAAAAATACGTAAATCTTCCATGAAGGGCATGCCCTGGTAAATATTCTAATGTAATTTCTTAATTAAGACACATATTCAGTGACTAAATGAAAATTATACATATAAAGGAGTAAGTACCTTGATTTTCAAAAAAATTGACTTTCTATGCATGTATGATTAAAAAAAATAAAAGGAGTTTGGTTTGAGAGAAAAAAATCAGAAATCAAGGAATCATGACACAACCAGACTCATTCAATTTAATCCTATCAGTCCACATTATAGTATATTCAAGTGATCTGCAGTCACGATAATAGGTATAAATTTATGTGGAAGCATTCTGAAGAAAAAAAATTATACCTTAGTCTAAAAAAGCTCCTCTTACATATATAAGAATTTCAAAATTGAAAGAAAAAAAGAGAAGCTGTACTCATGGGTGTGCTTACAATAAATACATGTAGGGAGATAACTGATTTTTTTAAAAATTATATTGAAAATCTTTTCATCATTTAACTAAGTTTTATTAACCTTTTTCTTCTCAAATGTAAAAAAAAACTAATTTTGGAGATATATCTTAAATACGTAGAAAAAATGTGTGTTCTTTTATAGAATGAAAAGCAGGACCTAGTTACTTGCAAATAAAAAAATGGAAACTGAACTTGTTCATCACATATCTACTAAGGTATGTACGGGCATCACTTCAGTACTACTACATTTACATACATATATTGTATTTCAGCACAAAGGTGATACTGATTATTTTTCCATCATACCAGGAAGACAGAAATTTTGGAATTATTTTTGGTGGTAAAGGCTTTATAACAGCCACATAAAGGGTCTTTGACTATAATATTTCTAGATAAAATAAATCACTGGAAATGAGACAAAGCCCTTCAGAATTACTATTAAAAAAAAAAAAAACACCTGTCTTCTCTAACGCTGATTTTTTTCCCCAAGCAAAAGAGGAAAAATAAAAACAGGTCCTCTTCAGTTACAATTATTTTAACAAATATCTTAGATCTATACAACAGAATCCTGCCCCTCCCATATTTTTATTCTGTTCACAGAGAGCAGTAAATAAGGTGCATTCCTTCTGCTTCTAGATTAGCATTTCAAAAATATGCCACTTTCCCCTGAACTCCAAGCGTGTCTAATAATGCGAGAAGCAGATTGTCTTCCCTCGTTTCCTTAATTTGTTTCATCTAAAAGCAATTCACTCAACATCTTGTCGCCCTCTGGCAGCTTAGTTTACTTATCCGCACTTAATTTCTCGTTCGGACCAAAACAAACTCCTCCCAACTGCTACTGACTGCTAACCGCGAGAGGGGAGACACGCAATATGTATTTACTTGGGAACATACAGCCATAGGTACGTAGCCACGAACACACGCAGAGCCTCACTCATACCCCAGAACGTAAGTTGGTTTTCTAAAAGCACTACATTAAAACCAGCTGAACTTTCCCTGCCAGGTGCGGCAGGGCGGGGGTGCGGAAGAGGCAAAAAAGAAGTCCCGGGGGCATTTGCAATTTTCAGAGGATCACCTTAGCGTGCGTGTTGCAATTACACCAGGGATGCACCCGAGAGCTTTTCTTTGTGCGGCCCTTTCATCTAGATCACTTTGTGTTTCGAACAAGGGAGGCTCGCCTTTGTGCCCCTAGAATTTCAAGTACAGAGTCAGACACGGAACAACAATGGCACGCTAATCCTCGCGCACTAAATGGGCTCACTTGTGGGCCTGACAATTCACGCGGGGAAGCGAGAAGACACCAGCGAGGGCGCGAGCCGGTGTCGCCTGAGACGGGAAAGAGGACAGCTGCAGAACTAATTTGGATTACATTCCTTGCAGAAATTCTGAAAAGGGCTTTTCGGCAGAGCTCAACTCCGAGCCGCACAGTTAATACCAGATTGCTGCGGACTCGGAGCCGGGTCCCCCAGCGGCTGAGGCTGCACCAGACGGCCCCCAGTAGGTCCCCTTGCAGAAATTCCTCTCGGCTAAGCTTGCGTGTCAGTCGCAACTGCTTTTGAATGGGTCAATGTGCATAATCAACCCATTGAGGGGAAATATGAAGGGACTCGGAGTGGGGAGGGAGATAAAAAAGGGATGTATCTAAGAGGCCGCTTGGAATCTCAAATCCGTGTTGGTGTAATTCCGGAGGTGGCTGGAGCTCGGGAACTGGTATGCATGAAGAATTTCAGAGTAATTGGGAGGGTGCAAACGTCCAGTACAAACGGCGCACATTGTGCCATTCGAAGGTCATTTTGAGAGGCTCGAGGATTGTAGCTTGTTATTTACTAGGCGAGGAGGGGGAGGCGGCGGGGGCGGAGCGGGAAAACTACAACGCGCTGTTTTCTTGGTGAGGTCAGAAGGACACCCTCCGGGGGCCTGAAGCTCTCCCTCTCGCCACTCCCGTGGGTTTTATCTTCTCTAGCTGCCTCCCACGCTCCCGCGACCAGCCCCGGATGGTTCCGGAAATCTCCCCGGCTCTCCAAAAGGCCCCCCTTGGCCGCGTTTCCCGCGTTTCAGTCACCCGTTTCCCTCAGCCCTTTCCTGTCCCACTTTCATCCCCAGGAAACTCAAGTGTCAGAAACTTTGAGCTCCTTCGCCCTGCAGGTGCTGTCACTGGCCCTGCGGACCGCGGCGCGCCAACCCCACCTTGCTGCCTCTCCCGGGTCAGTGAGCCTCTTGCCGGGCGGGGGCACCGGGGCGCGAGCTCTCCGGCCGACAGTTGCCGCTCACCCAGCGCAGCCGCGCCCGCCTCGGGTTCAATCCGCGTGACGGGTCGGCTCGGCAGCCGCGCCCGGCAGTAAACACAAGTTGGAGGGACTCCGGCCAATAGCAAGTTGAACTACAGGAAGAACTCTTTCTGGAGCCAAACACAGAAACCGACGGGAAGGCCGGGCTCCCGGCTTAAGTATGTCAAGCCATTCTTTTTTTTTTTTTTTTTAAGCGGTCACGCAGGCAGGCAAGGAAGCGCCTCTCTAGTCAATGGGGGCGAGGGCTGGGCACGCTGGCCGAAGAGGCCTATCGTTGTGGGCCCCCGGGCCGAGGCGCGTCCTCCCGCCGCGTTCCGGCTCCCAGGCTGGGCTCAAGGCGGGTCTGACCCCGCAGGCTCGGGCGGCCGGAGGCGCAGCGGCCGCGGGCAGCACACGCAGGTGCAAAGCCCGCTCTCTCGGAGCTGCTCTCTCCACAGCCCTCCCGCTCACCGGAGCCCAGCTGCCACGCCTCGGGACCCCCGTCCTTCCCCGGCCCCGGGCGGGGAGCGCTTTTCCGAGGCTTCTTCCCTCGGGGGGCCCGTACCCGGAGAGGAGCGTCTCCTGTGACTCCGGCTTTGGGTCTCCCACGTCCTGCACAACGGGCGCCACCAGAAGGGATCCCGCTTAGGGAGGCTCACAGAAAACGCGCGAGAAAGAAGCGGGTGAGAAAGAAAGAGAAAAGGGGCGCAAGTGATTTTTCACGATAACTGAACACAGGCACACGCAGAGGGTAAGTTTGGGGACAGATAGAGAGTCGCACGAAACCCAAGGAAGAGGCGCGGATGGTGTGATCCCGCCACGCCCGGGAGCGAGCGTGTCTCCGGCTGGGCTCTGCCGGCGGCCGCAGGGTCAACCGCGGAAGCGCGAGAAGGACCGCGACCCACCTGACTGAGAAGCGCTGGGCTGGACGGTCCCCGCCGCCACGAGAAGGCTCACCCAGACCCACAGTCCTGTCGCCAGCTTCATTTTTTGGAAGTCTCAGATCCCGTGCTGATAATTACATGTCCAAATGGCATATCCCCTTTCGGGCACACGGAGGAGATCCCTCAGCCGGGCGCGCGTGGGGCACTGGCGCGCGCGGGACACCGGCTCCGAGCGCGGGCGACCCAGTCCTTGCCCGCGGGGCCGAGGCCTGGAGAAGCGGGGGGAGAGGGTGCGCGTGAGGGTGCGCGCGGGTGGGAGTGGGCTCGAGTGTGTGCGCGTGGTGCTCCTGGTCGGGCCGGACAGCTATTTCCCCGTGTGAGCCTCCGCTTTCTCGCTCCCTCCTCACTTTCTCGCTCTCTCCCTGGTTGGTCAACAATAAAAAGGAAGGGTTCGGAAAAGGGTTTCCAAAAAAAGTTGATTGCAAACAGGCGGTAGCTTTCCGGCCTCTCCCCCCAGCCGGACTCTATTCGGCTCACTTTTCAGTTTCCTCGCACCTCCAGTCCAAATTGGGAGGAAAGGGAGGGGTGGCGGGGAGAAGCTTCTTGCTTCACGCGATCCCGTCCTTTTTTCCTGTCAGCTTTCCTCACACTTGTCCGGCGGCTGCGGTAATTAAAGCTCCGAGCGTCATTTCCAACGCTCCGCCGTCTCCAGCTGCAGCCCCACAGAGAAATTAATAAGACTCGGTCCGGGAGGGGGGGGGAGAAAAAGAAAAAAAAAGGTGGAGGGGGGTGAGTAAAACAACCCTCCACGCAACCAGGCTGGCTCGGCTCAGCCGCGCAAACCCCGCCCCCAATCTGACCCAACTAGCCACGCCTTCTCCCCCAAAGGGAAATCTTATTGGTTCAGCCACTCCCCAAAATCTTGGGCCTCGGGAGTTGGGAAAACACCTGTCCGGGAGCGGGAGCCTGGTGGTGGGGCGGGGGAAGCTGGATTTAATAGGCTCACCCGAGGCCACGGACTGAACCAGAGGCCCCTGGACAGCTGGCCCACAGAGTGCGCAGACGTGCTTACAGAAAAGATTTTTTTCTTTCTTAGACAAGAAAGTCACCACGGTGCTCATCCACAGACAGGACTTGCCTTAGAAATAGAAGAAAACACTGCTTCAGTCATAAAACCTACCCACCCTTCCTACTTCCTCATGCTTCACACTCAGAAAGTAGTGTGAAGGAAATCTAAGCACCCGTCTTTCCCCAACTATCCAGTCTCTCCCACCCTTCTCACCCTCCCAAACTGACCAAACTAAAATTCCACGTTTGTAGAGCTGCATCCTTAGATTTTTAGACTTTACGGGTCACTTCTTTTTTTCCTTGGACTCTAGAACAACGTGGTTTGGGGTTCATTCCCATTAAGCAGCTTCTAGTCGAAAGCTACCAATTTGATTCTAAAGGCTAGAAATGGTCCCAGGCCTGAGCTGTTCAGTCTGAAATAACTTAAGAAGGCAATGTCAGGACATAACCAACCTCAAATGATTAGGTTTTTTCTACAGTGGACCCGGCTTTAGGCCCCTTGAATGTTCTCACTCTGCCAGTTCACACTCCCCAACCCCCAGAGGTCATTGCTAGCTACAGGAGTTTCTGGACTAAAATATCTGGGATTGGGTCATATCATTGTACATATCCCTTGCTTTTTACAGCTCTAAAACTGTACCCTGGACAGGAGGCCAGAACCTCCTGAGGGTAGGAGGTTATTGGTTTGCTATTTGCACAGGCGTTCTATGTATGAATTCTTTTCCTTTTTCAGTTTCTCTAGAAACAGCAAATACATAAATAAAAAGTATCAGGGGAACTTAAAAATTAAGCCACCCTGCCTCCTCACTCATCATTTGAGACCTTCCTATTCCTCCCCCACATCTTTTATCTATAGCCTTGTCCCTTAAGAATTTCCATGGAGCTAGAACACAGAGAAACAGCAGCTTCATCCCAGAGGCCTGAAGCCTTCCCTTTCTTAAGCAAGTAACAGGCACAGAGAGGAGGCCAAACAAGCTGAGCATGCTGCTTTACCCAGAGCAGCGTAGGGCCAGGAAAAACTAAGCCTAGAGCAGGTGACAGTGACTTAACCAGAGTGGTACTGATTGCAGCAGAAGTGTGCACACTGTTCTTTGGGATTATCTATGCTGTCTTTTATCACCCTCCCCCCTGTTTTTTTTTTTTATTCAATCTCTTTTCACTCCCCTTTCCTTAAATCCCCTTCTGTTTTTTATGATGACCCTCAAACACCTCTCTTCCGTGAAAGCTACTTCTTTGTAAAATTTCCATCTGTCCCCAGAAAAGCAACTTAAGTGATTTTTTTTTAAGTATTGCTTTTGGAAAAGTTTAAATTTATGTATTAGAATAGTCTTGTTTCTGATAACAATTATTTTGCAAGAAGTGAAGAAATAGATTGTATTTTAGCTTAAATCGAGGGAAAAATTAAATACTATGGATATGTTAAGGTTTTTTTCTACTTGTGTCCACTGTGATAGTTTTTATTCCCCCATCAATTTTATAGCTTTTTTGTGGCAGGAACTCTCCTGTACACCTTGTTTTCAATCACACATCTAAAATAATTCTTGGCAAAAGAGAGATTTCAATTAATATTCATTGGTTAAAAAATTGGTCTATATTTTTTTAGGTGCTAGACAGCCTATACAAGGTATCCACCAATTACATTACCTGACACACCCATGATTTGCTTCTAATTCTCAATTTGGTCTGCCTAGATCCCATTGTCCTGGTTCTAACTGATTGAAACAATGATTGACACCTGGCCAAAGCTGGATATCTGACCACCAGCCTATAAAATGAATTGGCATGAAAGCCCTACTCAACAAAAGCATCCTACTCAACAGTGACTGGTGTACTCAGAGTCTAGCTCAAGTAATTTGAATATGAGACCCCAGAGATTTAGACAGGAAGGTGGTACCCTGTGTGGGCACACTGGAAGAGTGAGAAAGTAGAAGCCATGAGCTAGAGTCAAGAATTAATTTGTTCTATGTCTGCTTTCATTTGCTTCCCATCTCAACTGAGTCATTCTAAGTTGGACCACTCAGAATACCAAGTAAGACCAGTCAAAATGCCTTGGTCACTACTGATCAGATAAGAGGTAGTCACTCCCATGGAATCTCTTCCCTGAGATTTTTCTGCAAGGGAAAGAAAGAATTTGTATTCAGTCATTCCCTGCTGGCTTTTGAGATACAAAAGTCCAGAGCTGGCCTGTCTATATTTCTTTCTATGTAGGGATGACCAGTCTGCAGTGAGAAAGAATGAAGTTGCCATTTGAAAGGGGCAAAAGTCAGGTAGGTGTGGAGAATATTCAAGCTCTTCCTGTGGTTTTGTTGTTCAAATCCCCCTTTTCCTTAAGCTAGTTCAATTTTGTTACCTAAAGCCCCAACAGCATGAAATGGTAAAAGAACTTCTCTAACTTGTGTGAGATCATATAGGCCATCATGCCCCTTGAAGAAGGTATCTTGATAAGGCCCATACTGTTCAGTTTCCCTTCCCAGTTTCTCATGATTTCCCTTGGCTTAAGTCATAACCCCAAAAGAGAAATTCCTTTGGCCTTTGCTGCTCCCCCATATCCTCTTCTTCACTTCATTTCTTCCATTAGTGATAGAGTTCAAGGAGACTCTTGACATCATGAGTGGCAGAATACTACTGGTAGGAGAAAGGAACACATTGATCTCAGAGTTCAGTGTTGAAGTAGATACCAAGCTTTGTCCCAGAGTTTTGTGGTTCACTCCAATCTTCAGCTTGTTTCTAAGACTTACCTAATGGTAAGATTAGAGTTTGCTCCTTTAGACATTTTGCTATTGGCCATAAATATAAATTTGGGACAAATACCAAATAAGAAAAGAAAACAAGACCCTATCATAATTCATTTTCTTCTTCTGAACATTTAAAAATAAATATAGGATTCTAATTTCCTTCCCTGGCCATAGTCATCTTCCTCAACATCATTCTAAGTTACCTGGTGATCACAAAAAACTCACTTCGTAGACTTGAGCCCTTTGCCTCATCTAAAGGAAGGGATTGTTATGTCCCAAATCTAAGACTTCATGAGTATATGATTTACTGACACCTACTAAGTGCAAGTCATAATTTCCACAGACTTCATTTGTTTCTTATACCCTTTCCCTTTTTCCCCACTTACCCATACATACTTCTTCATCTGGGGCACCAACACAGCCACATCTTAAAATGCCTTAGGAAAATATCCAAATAACCTTACTACTATATTACTGTGAACTGCTCAAAACTCTGGATCTTTACTATTCCAACAGCCAAGAAATTTTGGCAAATACCAATCAGTTTCAGTATTATGATGATCAAGCAGATGACAGATGCAGTGTTGGTGTCTTTTGTTTGGTTGGGTTTTATTTATCAACTAGCACTTGAAATAACATCTTTCCTCTTAACCCTCAGAGTTCTGAAATTCTCTGATATTTTGGTGATGTTCAATGTCACAAAGCTAAAAAAATCTTTAAAAGTTCAAACATTTTTAAAATGCATAAATATACACTAACTAAAGAAATGGTTTTTGTTATTTTAGTTAATTTAATATTCAAAGAGGACCTCCCCAAGAATATTTTGGTTTTGGTTAGTGTTTTCTTTTATGTGCATGATTAAGCCTTAATTTTTCAAGTGCTAAGGAGGAGTGACTGAATGTAAATAAATCAAATCTGTGTTGCCCTTATGTCCATTCATCAGTATCTGTCCAAGTCCTTACAGATATTTTTGGTTTGTGGTTAAAACTGCAAAACAATTTCAGCCCTGTGGACAGAGTAGTCTTTTGCAAAGAAGTTATGCAAAACTGATTTTCCTAGTAAAGCCTTTTCCTGTTCTGTATCTGCTTTACATATTTTCTTCAACTAAGTTCTCTGTCCTGCATAGCTTTTTCTATTGCTTTGTAAGCTTAAAAACAAAGTAAACCTTCAATAACAGTTGCCAGTTGAAATCTAAGAAGAAGAGGGACAGTTCTATTTTTGCATGTTCATATGTTTATAAATAAGTTAACTTAGTGAGGTTAGTTATCAAGGCTATGATTCTACCTGGCCTGAAATCTGAACCAAGATAAAATTTGTTAGTTCCTTTTTCAGGTAGCCTCTTATGGTATTTCCTTCCTTCTGTATTCTTAACTCGGCAAAGAGCTGAATCATGTTATGGTTAAAACACAGATTTCTCAAAAGAATCTGAAGTTACATTTGCCATACACACAAAAATGGATGTTATTCTAAGGT